TTTTTCACTGATAGCACTTCTTTCAAATGATAATTTGGCGAAGTGATCCGTTCGTAATTCGTGAGGTTGAAGATCCTTTTAGAAAACATCGAAGTGGAAAATACTACACTAATGTTTCCCAAGAATACTTAAAGAAAATGTAATGTTACTACGTAATGGTATCCAACTCGCTTTAATACCGTGTGACTGTTTCATACCTATTAATTGACTGTTAAGACTTAATAATCATAACTAATAATGAGGTCATTACGAGTAAGTATTACATTTGAAATGTCATATAATCATCATCACTTGATTTCGAAAACAATTAATATGATCGCTCGAATAATAATATCTGATTTGTACGTATTAAGTAGTCAAGTGATTGACTAAATTATTAATTAATTTTTAATAACATAATTTTAAGTCAGTTTTACACATTTTCAACACTTAAAATAAGTTAAGTTCACTAGTATGTCCGTGTTAGATAACCAACAATTCGTAATATTTTGGACGACGTGAGGGATGCGAGAATACCTAATAAACTGAGTGAAAAAGTGAATAAGAAATAAGAATGAATATGGTAATGTGGAAGTGTAATTTTGTTTGATGAATTGACTTTTGGAAAAAAAATTAAATTAGTAAGACTATTTTTCTCCGATACGGATGTCAGAAGAGTCATTCAATTTCTTGTTGTTTAAAGTTGGTTTATTAATAATTAATCAAAATCCTTAAAGTCCAAAAAGATGTTGGGCATCTTCCCACTAGATGAAGTGACAACCTGAAGACATGCAGGAACTCAATGGATCGGGTGGACATTACTTGGGGGAGGCCTATGTTTAGCAATGGACTTTTAAAGAATGATGATTATATTTATGACGATAGACTATTTTGCTGATTGCACATCATTTGAGATATCTATGGATGGAAAAATGGCAAATTTTATTAAACTAAGTTTGTATGAATAGGGTTATTATAATATTAAGTAATTTATGGATGATAATAACCCCTGGGAAGGGTGATCGATGGTACCAAGCTATTTCTAATTTGTCTTGTGTTGTTAATTTTACACATGATTGTAAGCTATTATTTGAAAAAAAAATAGTCCCGCTGGGTTTCTTGCTGGTTCTTCGCAGGACAGATGTTTTTTGCGAACCAGTGGTAAATGAAAAAGTGACTTTCAATAAGTATTGTTTATAATCTACGTTGAATAAAAAAATTTCTGTTTGTGTTTCCGCAACCACAAATGGTAAAGCTTTCTTCTTCTGCACCATATGAAACGTCTTTTTTTTTTTTTGAAGAATTTTGTTCTTTTTTTAAGATTCCCTCTACGCTAGTAATTACTCTGAGGTTCTCGACTCTAATCTACTTTTTCAATAAACACGACTTTTCTGATTAAATTATAATGTCTCAAGGAAAAACCTTTTTTCTCAAAACTTTGTGCATGGCCTGAATAATAAGTTCGTATCCTTTAAAGCACGTCGGAAAGATACATCGATGGAGTTTGTACACTTAAATCAATTACACCAGTATTTTGTATAAATTGAATTTTAAGTAGCGACAAATATCATTCGAAGATTCTATAACCTTATTATTTCTTCTAAGAAAGACTAAACTTCTTAGAAAACCCTTTATAAGAGTGTAGTGATTGTCTTACCTAAAGCTGTTGCGTAAAGTGGAAAAACAAATGGATGTCGGAAAAGTTATGAAAGTTGAAAAAGCTTATCACATACGTCAAGTTGCCGGGACCCAAAGATTGAGTGCCTACTTGAGGACCTCTCCTTATTTAAAAGTAAACTAAACGGACAGTCTAAATACTTTCCGCTTTTTTATGCAGCTAGCCTCCTCCTCCCGCACCTCGCTAACCGTCCTTTCGAGATAAGACAATCGGGCGTAAACAATTATAGATTAGCAAATTAATCAAGAAGTTAAGTTTATATTCATTTAAATAACAGCCAAGGAAATATTTCAAACTGCTCAAAATGGATGTTGCATACGAGTACCATTTAACTGTTTTCGTGGTTTAATTGTGTATGAATTAATTTAATAAGTTAATATATATATATATATATATATATATATATATGTATATATATATTATATACATAGATGTAATTTGTTAAAATGAGAGTCTATTAATAAACACGAAGGATCACATCTACGTCACAGTTTATAAAAACAGAATATAAAGTCGATATATCTCAGGAGTCCGCTAATTAATGTGTCTGTGGAGACTTGTTTGCCTTCCTTGACAATTAGTGGAGATTTCATTACATAGCGAATATTTGCAGCGATGGATTCTAACAATTATAACAAAAAAATTTTTTAAATGCTTTGTAGTCTTATGAGTTTACAATTATCTACAGTTTGCTTGCTCAAAAGCTCAAATGTAATATTATGTATCGAACGCGTCGTCACAAGCAGCGTACCCGTTTAACACGTTAGTTAAGATAATTTGATTGCTTTAGAATTTCATTAGTACTCTTTAGACTCCTCGACGAAGTAGTAGTTTGTAAAAAATTACCAGCAATTTGTTGTATTTCTTTTAAGGCTTTGTGCTAAATTACTCGTCTGTTTTGTGATACTTCTGCGAAACATAAATTGTACAAGTCGCCTAAATATAATATTCAGGTTTGCAATTTAATACAAATATGTTTTTATTATATTTAGGTATAGAGGTTAAAACTGTAAAAAATATGTATATATTTATAACGTTCTCTTGAATCAAAATGTAATTCGTGCGCAATATGGTAATGTTATTTATTATTATTTTTAATCATGCGCATGAAACCAATGTGAATAATTTAAATTGAATTTTTATTCATCTGTATATAATAGAGCTCCTTATTAAACAATTTATAAAACGTATTTTAAAAATATTTCCTTATAAAACGTATTGCAAAAAATTAAGGAAGCGTTGCTGCGAAAACCTGTTTCTGCGTTACTATCAACATTATGCTAGAAATTAAACGGGCTACATTTCATTTAAATTATATTGTTATTCTTAAGTTTATTTCAACAAGACTGCATGGAGAACCTACTAATCTAACTTCTAACACATAGATATTTTTCTTAATCTTAAGAGAGAAATTAGCAAAATTTATATTAAATTAAATTTATATTATAATTTGACAAAATTAAGCTTTTTTAATACTAGCCGTGCCCGACATGTTATGCAATGCCTCGTTTAGGTCTGAAACCTTTCATCGTCATTGGATTAATGGAATGTAGGAACGCATACAATCAATAAACATCCATTGATTTTTGGATTTGATTACAATACCACAGTAAAAAAATAAACTTAAATAAAAAAGGAAACAAAGGAATCAAACCGCAGTAAATAAATAATTTCCACATAGTTCCGTACAGTCACAGTAGCTTCTGAATTATGGGCTTTAAATTTTTTATATTTAATGTTTAATTATTTTACACTTTTGGATAAATTAAAGAAAATCACTAGTTGAAGATAACAACAAAAATGATATTCATAACATTCTTGATGTTATCTTAATAGTAATAAATAATAGGTGACGAAATTTAGCTTACAAAAAAAGATGCTCATTTTCCACCAGGCTATCTATAGAAATAAAACCTTAAAATTCGGCTAATTGAATTGTAAATTAATTACGCTTATCACAAAATTAAAAGAAACGCAGGATTTTTTTCATATTTCTTAAAGCTTATTACGTTACGCTACGTCAAGTGTAAACGTATTACCATATTTTTAACGCGTCTCATTTACACACTACTACTTTACTTTATGCAACTCTGTTTCTGAGTTTTATGCATTATTTCATGTTTCATTTAATCAGTAAGCATTTTTTAAGTCTATCGTATAGTACAGGTTAATTAAAAATAATAAAATAACCTTTTTATTTACTATTTGATAACGACAAATCCTAATCTGAAAAGTGCCTTTAATATTTTTTGGACTTCATAGCGTTTAAATCGTAAAAATGACTATATGACATTATTTCCTAAACTTACATGTAGTTTGTCTACTATACCTTATAACTATACATAAACTTTCATTATCAGGTTTTTAAATGTATGAAAAGTGGACATGATTCTTTATATTACTTATTAACTTATTATTTCGCCCTTAGATAAAAATAAAAATTATAAATTTTTAGCATAATGTCTCCCACATTTTGCTAAAATTTATGTGGCATTATCCTTGAAGTACAATAACTTATTCAATAAAGGAATCATTACAATCAATACGATAACAAGTATATCGATTACCAAATCAGGCTAGAATTTTTAGATTTTATATCACATCGAGTCTTATGAATGCATCAATTGGAAGGTTGGCCCTTACTTAACACCTGGGCAGAGATATTGGTAAACAGAGAGCCGATATACTCACAATAGTAATGTTGCTTAACCAACCTGTGTTATTTGTGTTCAAGTTGGATGGATTTTCTGGTGGCCAAAATAGGGTGCACTTGTGCCTTGGTCTAATGGTCTTGGGTTTAAATCCCGGGTTGGGCCAAAAGTTATTGGATTTTTCTCTCTAGCAAGCAAATACATTACATTAAATAATGATTATACCTGCTATGTAGCGTGTCTTTGTACACGAAGTAAAGAAAGGTCAACCAGATCTTTTCTTACTTCCTTTGTTAATTAAACAAATTCCAATAGGAGTTGAGTTAAAAACGTTAAAATGTCAGAACAAAGAATTAATTTAATACTAATTTGTTTTAAGGGGCCAAAAGCAGAGAATTACAACTATTCTACAAAGGTCGGATCATTATTGCCTAAATATGGCCAATCAATAGTTTCAATATACAATTTCTTAATATGTAATGTATTTTATAATATAAAGGTGTAGTAAAAGGGTGATGTAGCCCATAAACAGTACAGACATTAATCACTATATTGTTACTTGTTTTCAAAATTAACTTGTCTCAATGTTGTTTCAGGATTTCTAGGTCCTACATATGCATTTGCCAGATACCAGATTTCCTACATGTACCTGCCAGATTTTAGCTTATCCTTGATAAGATTCATTATTTAATATGGGGTAAGTTATTAGTTAAAAAGGCGCTAAACTCGGGTTCATTCTCTCTCTCCCTATCTCTCACATACATATCCTTCACAAATTAATTGACGTTGTAATTCTCATTAAAATGTCAAAGAATTTATAACAAAAAAATGTATACTTATTAAATTTTATTTCATATTGAAAAGGAACCAGCGAGGTGATTAAGAAACAGAAGGGAGGAATCGAGGCTTCTCTCGATCCGGCCTCCTATAACGCCTACGTTGGGTTCGGGAACAACGTATGTGATCTCCGCAACGGAGTAACACACAAGAGCGATAACCTCTTCCTTTTCAGCAAATAGGTTCAGGCGGGGATTACGGGTCTTCCGAAGTCGTCCCGGTCCCAACGCCTTAATTCTTCGATGTGGACTGTATTATTTTGAGGGAAGAATTCCTTGGGAATAAAACAGCAATTATCTTCAAACCGTTCCGTGAGAGAGTAATTACTTTTCCTTATCACTTCCCTACACTTTTTCTTTCTTCTTATTGACTGCTGGTCTTGCACTTTTCCCGAAGGATTTTCGTACTTATTTCTCGAACATTTCCCGAAAGATTCCCGAACTTTTTTCCCGAACTTTCCCGAAGGATTCCCGAACGAATAGCAATAAAACTCATTTACTGAGCTACCCCAGAGCTATACGCGAAAGTGAGCCGCGCCATTCGCGCGCTTGCGCAACTCAATTACATGAATTTGTTCTATTACTCTCTCACGTTTTACTTAATTACTTTATTTGCATAAGTCATACATCAACATAATTTACCTGTATAGATAGCACAAAACAATATCTACACTACGATATACATTACATTTTCATATCACAAAAACCTTTTATTTATTTAACAAAATATGCCTATTTTACTCACAAGTTCAAGCAAAAGCAAACGCGTTGAAAGAAGTTCATGCTTAAGTAAATTATCTATGGAAATAGGAGAAGATAACTTACTCCGTTTAAATGGACGTTTACCTTTTAAGTCTAATTTGACTAAGGAAAGTAGAAAACCTGTCGTATTAGACGGTAAACACGAAATCGTTAAAATGATGATTAGAGAAGTTCATCATAATTTTGGACATGCCTATCACCAGACGGTGATGAATGAGGTGAACCAGAAATTTTATGTCTTGAACTTGCGTAATGTAGTACGAAGTGTGTCACATCACTGTCAGTGGTGCAGGACATACAGGTCAAAACCGCAGAACGTGCCACAAGGAAATATTCCTCTGGAGAGAATAGCTCATCATGAACCACCTTTTACATGCTCAGCTGTGGATTATTTCGGACCTATGAGTGTGACTATAGGAAGGCGACACGAAAAACGTTGGGGTGTTTTATTCACGTGTCTGACCACCAGAGCAGTACATCTGGAATTAGCAGCCTCATTGACACCAGCGTCAATGATAATGGCATTGAGGCGATTTATCGCCAGAAGAGAAAAACCAGCCGTTATATACAGCGATAACGGGACGAATTTCAAAGCTGCGAATAAAGAATTATTGAAAGCATGCGAAGAATGCTATGAGGGCACGAAAAATGAGTCATTTAAGAAATATATTAAATGGAAATTTATACCTCCGGGAGCACCGCACATGGGTGGCGCCTTGGGAAAGGTTAATAAGATCGATTAAAATTGCGTTGACCGCTACGCTCAAAGAAAGGAGCCCACGGGAGGAGGTTCTGCATACGCTGCTTTTAGAAGCGGAGCATACGGTAAATTCCAGGCCTCTAGTAACATTCAGTATGGATAGTCCTGAAGAGGGTTTGACACCCAATCATTTTCTTCTGGGACGCTCATGTGGTGATCGACCACCTGGATTATTTTTAGAGCAACATCTGACGGGTCAACTCAATTGGAAAGCTGCACAGAGGTTAGCCGACCATTTTTGGACAAGATGGTTGAAAGAATACATGCCTACTTTAATACCTCGAACAGGTAATAACGGAAAGTTCATGAACCTAAAGAAGGTGATATTGTTTTGATAATAGATCATTCGTTGCCACGAAATACGTGGCCGAAAGGCAAAATTAGTAGAACGCTACCGGGACCAGACGGTCACACCAGAGTGGTTGACGTCATTACTAACACAGGTATCTTGAGGAGACCTACATCCTGAATAATAGTGTTGGTACCCGCGATACCTCCCAAATAATGGTGCTTACGCACGGAGGGGAGATTGTTGGCGACGCGCCTATAAGAATATTTCAGTTAATTAAGTCAACCGATGACGAATAGCTTTTAAAAGGCAAATTGTCCAATAGCAATGTTCTAATAAGAAAATGCTTAGTTAAATTTTAAAGAATGTCGAATTAATGATATGAAGGTCTTGGGTTCGACTCCCAGGCCGGACTAGTTTATTGTTTTCTTAAGTAATATCTCTTAATAAATTCAAAGGAATATTAAAGTGAAGTTAGAGATCGGATTTGTTCCCCGGTCGAGATGATCACTCTGTGCATAAATAGAATTAACGGAAATTAATTGCATAAGTATTGCCTTATATGAGTTTGATATGTTTTGTATGAAAATAAATCCCTATTTGCTATGATTGATTTGTGAGAACATTCACTTATATTGTTATCTGATAAGAAAGTATGCGTAGGTATATGGATGTGGAAGAGGCGAGAAAGGTATGTCAGGATCGTGCTAAATGGAAGTCTGTAGTCTCTGCCTACCCTTCTGGGTGACAGGCGTGAGTGTTTATGTTATGTTAAACATGATAACTGATAAGAATCTGATTAGAAATAGTTTCCTACAGTTTGAAAATTGTGTAGAAGCATTTATTCACCTAATACTGTCGATATTGGTGTATATTAGACTTTTCATTTTTTCTGATAGTCGAGAGCCGTGTAAAGTTAGTTGTTCAAATAGTGTGAGTTCACGGACGCACGCTAGCCACGTACTTAGGAGGCCAAATATGTAAAAATTTAAATATTTGTAATTTCAGCAATTTATGTAAAAATGACTTGTAAAACATTTCAGGTTGATTGTACGTGCAAAAAAGGTGAATTCTGTGTTATTTTTATGTGAAAATTCCTGTGTATAAGTGAAATAATGATAGTTTTGTATAAGAAATTTAAAAGTGTTTTAATAGTGAAATGAATAGTGAAAATGTAAATTAAACTGTGCAAACAAAAAAACTATGTTTTCCACTTGAAATTATACATAAGTTAACCAATACAACAGTTTAATTTACATTTTCACTATTCTTTAAAAAAAAAACCCCCCCCCCACAAACATATAACAACCGAACAAAAAAAAAAAAAAAAAAAAACAACAATCTCCCCCTCCGTGCGTAAGCACCATTATTTGGGAGGTATCGCGGGTACCAACACTATTATTCTGGATGTAGGTCTCCTCAAGATACCTGTGTTAGTAATGACGTCAACCACTCTGGTGTGACCGTCTGGTCCCGGTAGCGTTCTACTAATTTTGCCTTTCGGCCACGTATTTCGTGGCAACGAATGATCTATTATCAAAACAATATCACCTTCTTTAGGTTCCATGAACTTTCCGTTATTACCTGTTCGAGGTATTAAAGTAGGCATGTATTCTTTCAACCATCTTGTCCAAAAATGGTCGGCTAACCTCTGTGCAGCTTTCCAATTGAGTTGACCCGTCAGATGTTGCTCTAAAAATAATCCAGGTGGTCGATCACCACATGAGCGTCCCAGAAGAAAATGATTGGGTGTCAAACCCTCTTCAGAACTATCCATACTGAATGTTACCAGAGGCCTGGAATTTACCGTATGCTCCGCTTCTAAAAGCAGCGTATGCAGAACCTCCTCCCGTGGGCTCCTTTCTTTGAGCGTAGCGGTCAACGCAATTTTAATCGATCTTATTAACCTTTCCCAGGCGCCACCCATGTGCGGTGCTCCCGGAGGTATAAATTTCCATTTAATATATTTCTTAAATGACTCATTTTTCGTGCCCTCATAGCATTCTTCGCATGCTTTCAATAATTCTTTATTCGCAGCTTTGAAATTCGTCCCGTTATCGCTGTATATAACGGCTGGTTTTCCTCTTCTGGCGATAAATCGCCTCAATGCCATTATCATTGACGCTGGTGTCAATGAGGCTGCTAATTCCAGATGTACTGCTCTGGTGGTCAGACACGTGAATAAAACACCCCAACGTTTTTCGTGTCGCCTTCCTATAGTCACACTCATAGGTCCGAAATAATCCACAGCTGAGCATGTAAAAGGTGGTTCATGATGAGCTATTCTCTCCAGAGGAATATTTCCTTGTGGCACGTTCTGTGGTTTTGACCTGTATGTCCTGCACCACTGACAGTGATGTGACACACTTCGTACTACATTACGCAAGTTCAAGACATAAAATTTCTGGTTCACCTCATTCATCACCGTCTGGTGATAGGCATGTCCAAAATTATGATGAACTTCTCTAATCATCATTTTAACGATTTCGTGTTTACCGTCTAATACGACAAGTTTTCTACTTTCCTTAGTCAAATTAGACTTAAAAGGTAAACGTCCATTTAAACGGAGTAAGTTATCTTCTCCTATTTCCATAGATAATTTACTTAAGCATGAACTTCTTTCAATGCTTTTGCCTGCTTTCAAGCATTTTATTTCCGAATGAAAACACTCGTCTTGAACGAATTTCCAAATTAACAATTCCGCTTTTCTCAAGAGCGCTATGTCCAACGCGCCATCGGGTCCTTTAACCGACTTTGCTAAAACTTTGTTGGAACACATAACCAACTTTTCGGCTGCGCTGTCGGGTCCTTTAACCGACTTTCTTAAACTCTTGAATTTTTCTACCGCTTGTAAGGTGCGTGTAGTTGCCCCAAGGAATTTCTTAAAGCTGCTAAATCGTCCGTAGTCTGGTAGACTTAACGGTTCTTGCTTTCTCAGCGCATTTACGCCTTTTGGCGATTTTTCTTCACCTGTTTCTAGCTTTTTATGGTGTCCACTTGTTTGGGCCATAAATCAGGACTTTTCCTGAGGAATTCAGGTCCTTGAAACC